GTACATTAACCGGCACACAAGTACTTCTCTTGGTTGTATCAGAAACCGGCCTTGTCTATACTTTTACCACACCAAAACTTCAGCCACTTGTCACAAAACCAGAAGGTAAAAATTTGATTCAAACATGTTTAAATGCTCCCGACAATCCTCCTACAACAGAATCGGCAGCACCGGTAAGATTAAAGATTTAATCTATCATCAATGATTTAATCCTTTAATTGATCGATTGATTGATTCATTTACTAATTAATTTACTTAAATATTTAATATTAGACACGACCAGCTCAAACTCCCCCGGTATATACAAGCGATAATTCATCACCAGTGGAGAATAATGACAATAATATATATAGTGATAATGACCGGAAGGTAGTTTATTGAGTTCCAAATAACCCCTCATCCCTAATTATTGCATTGAAATGAAATTGTCACTTTTGCTGTGACAAGGTAAGCTCGTTTATCTCATCATTTTGTGTATTTTATTAAAAAATTATGCAGCATCCATCACCGAGCGGACAAATATCTACCCACAACAATTACACTCAACAACTCGGTTTGAGCGGTTACTCCAATCCCAACCAATACAGCATCCCTACTAATAACCTACCGATGAGTGGTGGACTCCCGACTAGTTACATGTCCACGAATTATCAACCACAACACAGTCCTCCACAATACATTGGTCAACAGTATTCGCCAAATTCTACGTATATGCCTCCAAATTACTGGACCGGCGGTGGGTCAAACGGCAATGGAGGTACTAACGGAAAATTGCAACAATTCCCAAATCAATCCAACGAAAAGAAACAATAGTGAATTTATTTTAACAACAAAGAAATCAACATAGATTTTGTTTACTGATACAATCTCTATTTTTTTCTATTTTTTTTTCTATTTCGCTGTTGGTTGATCTATTGTAGGTAGGATGAATGAATGAATCATTTAAAGGCAGATGTTCCATTGGTGAAACGGCAAAATTTGTTATTATTTCATATCTAAAATTATATTCTTATTTCTTGCTCTCCTACATCCAATCCTAATTTATTACACTATCATTTCTCTTATAAATATATACAACAACTTGAAAATGAGCTTGTAAGTTTTATTAGTGTATTGGATGTATTATTTCGACTTTGTATCATTTCCACTTTTACTCCTGCATTCTTTTTTATATAACCTTTGTTTTCTTATAAATTCTCAGTGACATTTTACCATCATTCGCGAATTTGCTTGTAATAATAATTTCTCAATACCCCCTTCCCCTTTTTTTAAATATTTGTCGTCACCCAATCATTATGATATTTTTCCTGGAGATTTCCTCTCAGATTATCGGCATTATCTCTTAGAAAGCAAAATTAGTAGTTGTGATTACGAGAGAATTCGTTTGAATATCAGTCGTGTTTCTTTGGAAAATAGGATTTATTGCTGTTTGTATACATGTAGTTAGTTTTTACTTTTTTAAAAAAAGACATTCTGTAAAAAAAGGAAAAATCTCGTGTCTTAATTTGTTCATCGATTCGCAAATCTATTTGCTTGTTTATTATCCTGCAGTGTTAGTGTCATAATTTCCTCGTTTATGGTAAATAAACGATGATAAACATGACATGTAATAATATATCTTCGTTTGATTTTTCCTGTTCTGCAAATAATGATTCACTTCACACCACAGAGTTTTTCCTCCCGTGTCACAATTATGATTGATGCTTGTATTGTTTGTTGCCTTTTTCTTCGATTTGCTTGTAGTCTTTTTTGTCTCTGGGTGTCTTCGTTTTTTTTCCTAGCTTACTTTAGGAAATTTTTTAACACTGACTCCCAAAAAGTCAATTATCACGTGCCTAATCACTTGTACTGCGTAATGAATGTCACATCGATCAAATAAATTAATATTTGTGTCCTAAAACATGCATCGTCAAATGAATTGGCATTTCCTTAACATATGGACTATACAAGAATGTCGGTCCAGAATGCCCCCTTAAATCATTAGCGGAATGCATTTCATAATTATTCGAATATATTGGATGACAAGTATGTCGGTCAATTATCTTTTTTATTAGCTTGATAACGTAATATAATATACATGTGTTTCTGCGATTTGTTAATAGCACTCTAAGTTTGGACATGTGTGTCGAAATGTCTTTTTTTCCCATTTTTAATATACAAAGAGAGAATGGATACTAAATGGAGTATTTTTTAATTATAATATTCTTCCGAGAAACATCCGTATATATTACACAAGATATGATTCATGCAATCCATCCCTCCCCCTAATCAAGTGACAAAAAATTTCGAATCGGGGCACTTCCAGGTCGTGTGCTACATTTATTAATCTTGTGTATTCGAATTCTTTCAAGTTGAAATTTCATTTTCAGCATGACTCTCATTTGATTTTTGAGATTAATCCGTCTTGCACAAAATCAGAATTTCTCACAATACAAAAAGAAATGATTTTTTCATTTACGAAAAAATGAATTAAGAATTAAGAACACCCAAAAAATTATTCACGACAGAATCACTGTAATAAGATACATAATCAAATTATTAAATGCCTCAAAGCTTTTACCGGATAGATTACATGCAACACATCAATAATAGACAATTTATTTTCTTCATGATCACTGTAGAACAAGTAATGACAATTCCAGCAGTTATACACTTCGGATAAGCTGATCTTTGAAGGTTGCCACACCAACTACAAGTCTTTGATGTGTAAATTTCGTTCTGAACAATAACACAGACTCTAATTCTTCAGCCTTAGCGATCAAGCATTGACGAAATTGATAGTACCCCGCTGAGCATTTTTCGGACAGTCTTAAACATAATTTTTTCGTTTCCAGTTAACCATGACCGACATTCCTCAAATGGTGAATGACGGTTACGTGCAAAAATGAATCCAACTCTGCGGACGTAAAATTTTACGTCGCATCCGGGTAATCACCTTTGGGCTTTAACTTTTTTTACATCTCGATGTGGAATTATTGAACTTTCTTAAACTCATTCATATATTTGCCAATACGAGAAATGGCAGCCGATATCAAGGGAGCTTATTTATTCACACCTTTGGAGTGTGAGCGTTGGGATCGATAGAGGCTGCATAGATAGAGCCATCCGTTTGGGTTTCACAGAAATCTTGTACTATCCATTTATATTTCGGCAAGTTTGCCATCACATGTGACATTGTGCGGATTAGGCCACTTATTGTTTTCTTTTCAAAGTGAAGAACCAAAGACCCTGTTCTCATTGATTGCCTCCTAGGTAATATTTGGTGCTCGCCATGTAGTCATTACCATCTTTCCTGCCCGAACTTCCATGTATAGCTTTGTTTATACCTTTGACGGGTTGAGACTTTATCAAGGTCTGCTGTACTGGACTATTATGGTAGTATCAACCGACAGTAATGATTTCAATTTCACCTATGTTATCGTAGAAACCCGAAAATAAGTTACCTCCATGTTTCATTCCAAAATCGGTGCAAAAAGTATATGTAAACTTAATAAATTTGATCCTGAAAATAAGCTACCCTCTCTCTTTGACTCTTGAAAATCGTGCAAAAAAGGGTAGCTTATTTTCCTACGGTGATAGATTAAGTTATCAATAAATAACGCTTATAGACGCATATATATTTCCAGCAAATCAAAATGTTCGATGTTTTTCGATAAAAAGAATTCCAATGCATTACTATAATTATAGGTTGGTACCAAATAAAACTCCCATAGCTGAAAAGTTCTTTAAGTGCTGTAATTAGATTGATATCATTATAAATGTGGTCTCTAACGTATATTCATTTGTTGCTGTTGATTTTATCGATTCTAAAGACCGTGCCGGTGATGAATCAACCGACATCAATTCGCTTCTGTTCTTAATCGACTGTGAATATTCGCTATTTTCATCATAATCTAGCGAAATATTAGAGTCGCTCTGAGAATTCGAGAATTCAAAGACAAATTTTCTATCAGAACTTCCGAATCGATGTCTTCCATGTTTTCTGGCTCTTCGTACAAATTCATATCTGTGAGCCATTTATTTGGTGTTTCCACGTGTACAGATTGTTCAAAGTGAAAAGAAAAATTCATCTATAGAATTGTTCATTGAATTCTGGACGCTAAATAACAATGATACTGGAGTCACAATTTTCATCATCGATATTTTCTAATTATAATCGCTTGATCTTGAATCATTTGATTTTATACAGACGAACAATTGGTATTGTGAAGGTACTTGTATCTTTTATGTGGAAATTTTGTTAAAATCGCTGATTAATTTCAATTTCGATAATTTGATCACTTTTTAACTTCATCATTAATACCTGTTTATCATGCATTTCTTCGTGTAGAAACTTAACCGTTATTAACGGTACAACAATCCTAATAAACTCATTGACTTTTGATTTGTTCACTTTCTAATTCATTTTTACGCTGTCCTGTGTATACTTGCAGAAATTTTGTGATATTCTTTGTTCTCTTGTAGTTATAAGCGCGATTACCTGATTTTTTCAACTACCGTAAAGCGCTCCGTATAGTACCCCTCCCTGTAAAAAATTTAAAATTCAAACCTTAACTTAATCCATCTTTTTTTTTAATAAAATTATCTATTTAAATAAATTCGTGTAATTTCTTAAAAATCTTAGTCAATAATTTACAAACCTTGAGGTTAAATTAAGGTATAAAGTTTTTAAATTTTTTACAGGGGAGAGGTATTATACAGCGCGTTTTACGGTATTATTTTGGGTCAGCTTCCTATATAACGAAAGTCCGGGCTGGGTTACAAATTTCATTATAACACATTTGTTATATCTATATTACAAAATTAGATCTTAAAAAAAACTCATCTTTAGCCGACGGATTACATTTCTGTCTTTTATTGGTTATTAAAATCATTTGGCAAGTACCCTAACGGCAGAGCAAATGCAGACGGAAGATCATGATTGATAATTTTGGATGTTAATTCTAATTTTTCGTTGAGGAGGGCTTCATATGGCATCTCAATAGTAATACCCTAGTTACAGCAAAGAAATGCGACATAATTTGCAGAATGGTAAAAGATCAACGGATCCTTGTACTTACCTCGCAACAATTAGTAATGAAAATCGAGAGTAATAATACCAAATATTTTGTGTTTTTAAATATAAGAACCCAAAATGAGTAGATTAAGCTTTATAGATATAAAGATACCTCGAACCTGTTGCAAACTGAACATAATAGTCAAATACACACCCCCACAATATATTACCGGAAATTTCAAAAATGAAACTATCATTTTGGAACCCAATTTCTTGTAAT